TGTGACATCATCACACTGACTGAGGAGGAACTGCTTACACATCTCCAAAAATGATGAAAAATGTAACTCTCCATATGTTACTTTTGTAGCTTTTGCTAACGGAGAGAACACAGCAGCCAGTTGTTCTGTCAGCTCCCAGTCACATGATCTCATCTCAGGTCACTATTTAACTCTTGACCTTGTGACAGCATGCTCATGTACTGTAGCTGCTCGTGTTTTTCCTTCCTTGCGCCTGTTCCTAATAATCGTCAAATGCCAATGGTAAATACTCCTTCCATGCAGAGTAACGTTACCTCCCATTTTATGAAGTGATTTTCAATATTGGTTCAGTTGATAAAATATCAGCTCAGAGTGAATGAACAGGAGAATCCCCCCATGTTTCAGTCTTACAGCACCACTTTGTTATTAACTCTACCAGAGAAACTGTGCTTTTCAAAAGTGCTCTGTGCTTGACTGGACTGTCTGCTATGAAAACATCTGGAGCATTCTGAAGAGGAGAATCAAACGATGGCAACCACAGAGCCACAACCTGCTCTGTTTCAGTTATTTAAGAATCACATATCGAATCACATATCGAACCACATATCGAATCACATATCGAACCAAAGATATTATGCTGGGGCTGTTTCAGTTATTTAAGAATCACATATTGACCCCCAGCATAATATCTTTGGTTCGATGGAGAACCACATCATTTGTTGGTAATACTCCTGTGTAACCCAGGAGGATTTGGTGGAGATAAATCAACTGTGACTTAAAACACCAGATATTGACCTGTGACCTGGGAGCTCCCACAGCTTCCTGCAGCCTATACTTGTAAGGATTATCTTTTGTAATTCAATTTGCATCTGATGAAACCTGGCAGACAGGGCAGTCCATCTTTCATCAGATGTATCTCTGTCTCACTTATTTGCAGAACTACGTAGTGTAGTTTTGGCAAATAAGCGAGAGTCCTACCCACAAACCCATTTCAGACACAACAAATTTCTCTTGGTGATTGGTTGGGTTAAGTACCGACCTGTAGTCTGCCATCTGACAGCAAAGATTTATGGACCAATGATTGGCCCAGCTCACACTAAGCTTGTTCCATCTTACTCCATCCTTTGCTCCGTCTTCTGTGAAACCAACCGTCTCCACAGCTTTCTTCAGTCCATCAGTTACCTCACGGAGACACCTCCAACATTCTCTGTTCTATATTTCCACCATCCTTCCTCAGCACACGTCCAAACCACCTCCACCTGCACCTTGTCTCTTTAATTTTGTCTCCGGACTATTTAACCTTATCCCATCCTCTGCTCATTTATAATCCAGACTTCCATGATGGATGCAGGTATCGTACTGTTTGACCGTAAAGCGACCCTGTGGGTTGTCATCTAAATAATTGATGCCAAAACGAATGAATTATCCACCATGTGTGCAGAGAAAATGAAATTTAATAGAATGGTTATCTATTATATCCCACTGAAATGAAAGACAAAAGGCCCAGTGTTTGCTACCTTTCTGTGGAGCCAGATTTCAATCAAGAGAAGAAGAAGAAGAAAAAGAAGAAGATTTCAATCTTAAGCGCTACATGAGACACTACCAAAGGATCTGTACACAGCTCAGAGAGCCAAAGTAATTGGAAAGAAGATTGTCCTCAAAGATGGCGCACCACTCAAGATTCTCACTGACAGGAGGGGACAAAGGCAGGACCCGATTCCAGCACCAAGTTAAAGTAGAGTTATTTATTTTAACAAGTCTAAAACTCAGATTTAACAACAGGAGCAGATACTGACTGGGCCCCCGACCAAAACACGAAGGGAAACACAGTGGAACTCCAAAACAAACAGACAACAGGCAGGTCCACGTGGGGAGTCAATCACACAGTAAAGTACAACCATAACTGAACAAGAACCAAGGGAGGGAGAGACACATGTACATTCCCAGGGAAACGACTGAGACTCACCACCAGAGGACAACAGAGAACACACCCCAACATCAGGTCGCTCTGCTCAACCACTCCAGATGAAGTGAAAAGTTCCGGTGCTTCTGAACATCCGCTGCACTGTGCTGTTGCTTCAGCGTGACTCACTCATCCAGACCCTCATGACTCACACTCCTCAGGACAATAATAGTCATTGGAAGTGCACACAAGATCGATAACTGGATAATATATTTGCCAATGGGTTCTGTCAGTCAGGACAATTGGCCCGCAGTCACAAATTTAAAATAACAGCAGAAATCAGTGCAAGTCACTGCAACCTATCACAAACGATGATAGGGTTGGAGCAAACCGACATTATAACTTTGAATAAAGTGCTTAAATGGAGTAGTTCATAGAGGTTGAGCTGCAGAAATCAATCAGAGTGGAAATGAAGGCCGTGTTTCAGTGTCGGACTAAAAGGTTTGTCTTTTTAGATCTAAGCAAGAAAAGAAAACTTCCTGCAGTCTTAAATCATTTCTGATATCAGACCGGTGAGGAATAATAAAAGCCTGAAAAGGGAACAAAGATCACACATAGTGGACAAGCAGAAAGAAAAAAAACACTGGAGAAAAAGAACAGCCACAGTCACCACAGCAGAACTGGGATTCACTCTTCCAGATAATTATTCCAAAGAACACTGGGTTTAAAATTGTGCTATTCCATTAGACACCAAGAAAAGTATACAGCGTGACTTATGGAATAGCACAGTTTTAAACCCAGTGTTCTGTTACACAGATTGACAGAGGTGCAAATATCTGACATGTCTGGGTGTAACTGAATGCAGTCATGTGTGTCTGCTGTACAGTTGGAGAGCTGTTGGTTTGACCAACCTAAACTTCATCTAATTCATCCTTCCAGGTTGCCAGGATCACAGACCTTCCTTTAAATACCGCCCAAATTTCATTCACTTAATAAAAATAAACAATTCACATGAGAGGTATTTTTAAAGTGTCCCCACAGTTAACGACAGTGTTTTGTGTACTGACCTACTGAAACTGCAAATGATGAAAAGATCAAGCAGACTGAGCCAACAATATGACTTTGTCTTTTGACTCTCATGAGTTATCATCTTTTAACAAAGCTGCAGGAAGAATTTCCAACTCCACTCTGATGCCAATTGGATTTATTGATCAGTGCCAAGCCCTTGAATATTGCTGTGCCAGCACAAAAGTTAGCTGCACTTCTTCACATAAAATACAACTCGGGCATGTAAATCTTATACTGCTTTCTGATGGTTTAATTTATATTCTAGGTTACGTTTTCTTAAAAACAGAAGAGGGAGAACAACATTTGTGCTTTTAAATCATACACACAAACTGTAGAAAAAAACTAATACATTTCCTGAAATATAAAATAAAAAAAATAGGCCATGTCCAGTGAAAAGTGTCAAAAAGCTAATTTGGAAAAGCTGTTAAAGGAAAACCAAAGACTGTGCTAGATGACTGCTATAACGTAGCTAAAGATAAACAAAGTTAGCCCTAGATAAGCTAGCTAAGTTCTATCCTGAAAAAGTGAGCTCACTTGTAATTTTCTCGTAGCCCAATGTATTTTTTGTACCCATTTGTATATGAATGAAGTTCACATTAGTGGCTAGCATCAAAATTAGCAACTATCTGGGTCAGTCAGGTGTCCAAGTACAGTAAAGTTAAAAAATACTAATAAATGACTGCCTTGTTCACACAAGTGGGGTTTTTTTTACTCTCAATCTGTGAAAAGAAAAACTAGAGCATTTTCTAGTGTTTTTACAATGTGACATTATGTAATGTAAGTTCAATGTCTTTGTAGTATAACAAACGAGGGACATGGAGAGTTTTTACATCAGGGACTTTTTCATAGAATTTAAAATGGAGGTCGTTTTTCCCCACTTTTTTCACTTCACCTTGAAGGTGCATTTTTTAACATTTTGACAATAAATTTAGGAATGCTTAAGATGTGTTTGCCATTGTTGCTGCACGAATGGCTAGAATGCATGTTGTTCTTTGTGCTGTCTTCTGTTCAGACCAGGGTCGTTACATTTGCAGCCCAGTGCCCTCCAGACGAGTAGGCTACATCTTATCAAAGGTGTTTTGTAGCACTAAAACAAATGAAGCTTGAGTCCAGACATCAAACCAGATCACCTCCAGCTTGTGGCTGCCCATTAGGAGACTTCTGAACACGGTGTTCTCGCAGCAGGGAGCTGATCACAACTTCTAACAGGTTTGTTGTTGCTGAAAACAGGTTAAACCTTTGGGTAATTGTGTGTTTATCCTACTCTGTTGCAAATATTTTCAGCTAAAGTCAAGTACAACCTGCAGGCTGTATGAATACAGGCTGTTTCTAGTAAAACAGCATATACTGACACGTGACACATTCGAGACAGATGTGTCTACAGGGGTGTGGCTGTATTCAGAGAATGGTCAGCAAAAAAAAAAAACAACTAGATTTTCCAAAAATGGTTCAACAATGTAAGCTTTTCAAATCTCACATTTATTTCTATTCCTCTTCAGTTCTGCATCTGGATCACATCAGACCAACCTGGCATTTAAAATGTCACTCACATAAACCATGGAAGAAAGCCTGTAAAAGGAGTCAAACACACTTGGGTCCCATTAAAAGAAGCTGCTTAAAAGGTCAGACGTTTACTCAGTAAAGATGCTGCTGCCCTAAAAAAGAAAAGAATTAATTGCTAAAGTGCTACAAATAATTTCAAACTTTCAATCCAGAAATAAGAATATAGTATGTAAGATTTGTGTTTGTCACCCAACGCAGGCATGGTTCTCCCTGTTTGTGTATGGGCGACTTGAGCACTTCTGGAATGTTTAACTAATAAAAAGACAAAATGACCCAGTAATGAAACTCAAAGGATAACGGGCTACAAATAAACCAAAATAACAAGAAGCCTTAGCTATGTTAGCATAGCCTAACTTAGCCTAGCCATGAGTCGATAATGACCAGTTCAGATCAAGTTTCTGCACTCGTATGACCTTCTACAGTGCGACTCCAACTCCATCATTCTGACAAGACGTTAACCTTCCTTCAACATGTCTGTCATGCTTACCCATAAAATAGGTCACAATCTTGCACATGGATGCGCCGAAGATGAAGTCCTCCAGGATGTTGGGAATAAGGGTGAAGGGCATACAGAAGATGCCAATCATCAGGTCGCTGACAGCCAGCGACAGCAGGAAGGAGTTGGTGACGGTCCGCATGCGCTTGTTCAACATCAGGACCAAGATGATCAGCAAGTTGCCAAAGACACTGAGGAGAAAGATGAGCACGTAGAGCACGATGCGCAGAGAGTCCATCTCTGGAGGAAGGAGACAAAAACCAGAGGAAGAGACAAGAAGTCATTTATTATGAGCTTTGTTTTTGCCTACACCTCATTTGATCAATAACAGGAAGGAAGCATCGTTGCATAAGTGAATTACCAGGTAGCCAGCTTTCACTTAATGGACATAAAAGAGGACACATTGACTTAAATATGAACAAAATCTCCTAATGAGCAAGGATGTGATCTTTCACAGGAGCCAAGGGAGCAAGAGTAAAAATAATAATAATAATAATAGAGGGATGAGTAGATGAGGCCATTAGGAGGGCTGTCAGGTTGATGGAACTTCTACACATGGGATAAAAGCTCAATTTCCCTTCATTTACATTTGATATAATAAATAATGAAATTATGTAATCGGTAATGAGATAAAACTTTAATAACGCCATACAATACTGTAGCCCACTGGTTTTAATTTTTTTTTAAAAGTGTATTCTGAAAACCAGAGGTTTCCAAACCCCAGACCGCTGCAGGTGCACGGAAAGGAGAGTTTTTATGTCGAAAAATGACTGCGTTTCATGTTTATATCTGACATGTGTCAACAAGTCCTAAGAAATCCACAACCAAACTCAGGCCAAACCCGAATAAAGGAGACCAATGAGACCCCATCTAAAAGTAGTTTTCTTTGAACCTTTATTGATATGACTGTGCTCCATCAGTCTGATACCGATCTGGTCAACATGACACATTTTAAAAGTCATTCTGGCCTGTGAGCCCAACAGTTTGCCTCCCTCTGATCTATATGAATAATTTGTTCCCTTCTGAAACCATCTGGCTACGTCCATTATCTTTCTGCAGTCCTGCCTGCACCAAGCCTTTCCCTGACTGTCAGGCTGAGACTGGTTCCTGGTAGTTTTTCTTCCATAAACTCCCCTCTGCTCTCCCCATGATGAGGTTAAAACTCTGGACAGCTCTGTCACCAGGTTTGGGGCAGCTCCTGTCATTACCGCTGATCTGTTTCTGCATCCTAGAACGTATCTGACGCTCCAAGGTCACATCTGCTCGTACAGGCTCAATTAAGACGGCGACCACGGCGACAAATGAGAGATCCCAGGGTCTGCAGACGACCTGTACGTGCCAGAGGAGCTGGACCTCCAGGGAGTTGATACATGTACTGTGTGTGGGATTTAGAATGTGTCTTCTCTGTGCCACAATGAGCGGTGGAACAAACAGTGTGTTGATTATGCAATGGCAGGATACCTAGTTTTATTTTTATAATGCCATATTCTCCTCCCACACACGGACAGGACATGAATCTCGCTGCATGCCAAGTTAAAAAGCAGCGGCGATGATGGAGGCGATTGAAAGACACACTTAAAATGTTTAATCACAAAACCACTCCAACGTTGATTATTGAGTTCTTTTTAAATTTTTTGGTTGGAATCTCCGTCACCGTGTCACGAGGAGAGCGGGAGAAAAATGAATCAATGGCTTCGTTCTCTGCAAAGGTTCAAAGGAAAAATCTATCAAAGACTGTTCTGATCATTTAGTCGAGTGGGAAACACACGCTCTACCAAGTGTTGGTTTGGACATACAGTTAGATACAAGTATTATCAGTGTGTGTGAAACTTCTTTGCTCTTGTTGTGATCATTTTAATGTTTTCCAGGTAAAATCTGATTTATATTAAGTGACTTAAAACCGACGCAGACTCCTGAGCATGTACAAGAAACGTCGAGATAAAAATCAGACAAAAATACGTGACAACGGAAGCATAATGATCACATCTGCAGTAAAATATTTCAAGTCTTTTTCATGTTATATATTTCTGACTTTGCCCTGAAAACTGTACTGACTAACCATCACTCTGCCCGTGGTTTTCCCTGAATGGTTTTAAATATTCATGAAACTCTGTTACTGTCATTCATTTGGTCCTCTCTCTCTCTCTCTTTCTCTCTCTCTTTCCATGCCTTCAGCCATTAGACTGCGCAAAACTACAACACCCACACATTCACTTTCTGAGGCTCAACCAGTGCCCAAAATAATACATTTCTGAAAAGTCCAACCTGGTTTACAAAAAGAAAACAGGATCCAAATCCAAGATAAAAAATAAAAACGTCCTTTCACATGACTGGTTAGTCCAGTCAGTGGTAAAACACTTGATCAGCACATCATGTTATGTAAACAGGGTATTTTGCATTGTTTGTTTTTGGCAAAATTTTAAGCCTTGACAAAAATATTTTCACCGTCGTTTAACCATGTTAAAAACATTGAAAGAAGAGATGGAAACAGTGTAAACTGTATAAAACACACAGCAGGGAAAAAACCCACTAGATTAAATGTGACCGCAGCAGATTATTTACTGATCCATTATGTCACCCTTTAGCTAGTGAAAGATTTAGCTTGACTTTCATGACATTTATACAATGGAATTAGAAGACATTAGCATAACTAGCATGTCAAAACTAAAGAGCAGACAGTGAGCTCCCGCTGGTTCTGGCTAACTAAGAGATTTGAACCAGTGAAAATGAGATGATGTATTCATAGAGCACCAGCAGCAGCCTGGCTCCCGTGAGCCTTACAGACAGCATGACAATTTACTTTGGCTGCACCGAGCGTGACGGCAGTTTCAAATCCACAGGCATCAATAAACACAACAGTGATAAAGGGACAGCGTTCACCTTGGACGCACTAGGGAGCGTGTGCAAATGCTGACCTTGATCACCGTCTGAGGAATCAACACTTCTGCTTCTGTGTCTAAGTCAATCCTGCTGACTTGTCAATAACCTGCATCAACAAACGGCTGGCATATTTTATAACAAACATGAATTCATGTGTGTGACCTTGGAGATTTATGGCTGTAATTAAACCAAAAATTATAATAATTTAACTTTGATGGACTAAATTGAATATAATAAATACAGATTTTGTGAGTATCAGTGCGTTTTTTGGTATAGTCTTTGAAACATGAATGCATGGTTACTTTACCAATATATAGATGATATTATAATGTTCACACATTAGTGACTTGTTTTTTTTTTCTTCAGATTAGCCTGTGAATGTTAATGAAGCTTCCAAATATTTATAGGAAGTAGACACAGGGTTATCTGACATAGACACTTGGAAGTGCTAACGGTGTATAATTCATAACCTCAAATGAGCGAAACCACAGAGAAGGTGCAGAGTCAGTACCATCCCCCACAGCGCTACACTGAAACTAAACCAGCTATAGGTCTAATATCAAGTGCTTATTCAGTCAATATTTGACTTTCATATAATACATTTCACAGAGCTGGAGGGGTTAGCTTAATAAACGAGCGCTCACCCAAATTAACAGAGACATTTAGAAAGACATTAACACTGACTTTATGATTGAGACACACCATCATAAACCCACTCCTGGAATCATGCCTGTCCCTCATCATCTTTGTCTATCATTTCCTAAAGGCTTTAGGGTCAATACCTGTAAGTGGGATTACTGTGTGTACCAGCAACAATAACAATATTTACATGTTGGTGGAAACAGTTCTCACACATTGAGGAAGTGAAAACATTTGTGGGGTCTGTGTCAACACGTACGTCTCAGTTTTGTCAACTACTATGTTTTTCTGAGGCAGGTTTTAAAGGCAAACACAGCGAAACTGACGTTAGATTCTGTGAAACACCTCGGGGAAAAAACTGGACCAGACCAGATTCTGTTCTGCATGTTCGTTTGTTTTTTGTAATCTGTTTTTTTTTATTTGCATAACAAATGTTTGGAATCCAACAGTGTCTAACCAACCTGAAATATGTAGAGAACTTTAAGGGACAGCACCCACTTCTACGGCTGACCTGTGAGACTGCTGCCCCGCGACCCGGTAACGGATAAGAGGACGAAGAGGTCATCCTCAATTACATATACACTTGGCCTCTGCCTACCAGCTGTGTTCTGGTCCCTGGTTGTGGGGCCAGTCGTGGTCACTACCTCCTGGTAGGTTCACCTAAGGAGCAGGCGTTTGGCTCTGGTGCTTCTTGCCTTTCTGCTGCATGCGCTTTGATACAGTGTGGTGGTGACCTAACCTCTACATCAGTATTTTATCATCCCAGTGACAAGGTGCCAGTTTCTAACTCACACTCTCATCCAAACACAATCACACACACACTCTTGGGATCCACAATGTACACTTTTACTCCACTTTTATATAAAAAATGTTGGTGCATTTTTCTTTTAACACTAAATTTTATTTCTCGGTATTTCGTGATTTTAACATTTAGTTTATGCAATTTCCCGTACTCTGCTGTTGTACAGAAAAACATTCTTTAAAATGACTGTGTCATCTTACAGATACGGTGTTCCAGCTCATTCTTTTAAAATTGAATTTCCAAGGTTAAATGTTGTTGTTTTTTTTTTTCATTTCACACCAAAGAGCCACTGCAAATGTTCTTGTCTTTAAACCACACTGTCTGTGAAGGGTTCCGTTCAATACTCATTGTCACGTTGTCCTTCATTTCCTCGCTCATTTCCCGTCCACTGCCGTCACTTTCCGTCATGTCCCATCAGTCCCCGTTTCTTTTCATACTGCCAAGACGTTTTTGTGGAGGTGACGGCATGTCTATTGTCCCCAATTCAATCAGAAAGAGTGACCACCGTGATGCGGGCGGTGCCTTTGACCTCCACTCTGTTTTCAGTTTCATCACAGAGAGCAGACACAGTGACTTCACCGCAATGTGTGTCTAAAAATAATGAAGCTGAATCTTCCACCCTCTCCACTCCAGGCATAATTGGTTTGGATGGTCTTGACCTCAGTGTTGTGTGTGAAGAATTGAGGGCAGAACTTTGGAGTTTTTATCTAGTTACGCAGACCTTGGCAGTCAGGTAAAGGCTTCTTACAAGAATGCTCTTTTTCTGTTTCCACAGAAGTGGTCTGGCTGTTAAATCAAATTCATATGTCAGCAGACGGAGTCTGCCATCACCTGTGTCATGAATGCTGCTGTTGTTGGGATATCACGGCGTTAACACTGCAAAATGTACAATGTGTAAATGAATGAAGGTGCTCAAGCC